GATGGGGAGCCGTCGGTGGAGGAGCCAGGTGGAGGCGGCGCGCGAGAAATTTCACTTAAGTGTCCCACGCTGCCTTTCTTGAGCTCCTGTCGGTGGGGCACTTGGAAAAGATCCCAAAACCTAGATCTAGGTTATAACTTTTATCGTGTGTAGCTCTCGGAAAAGGTAAGGATGGCGAGTGTGACTCTAGGCAAAGATGAGTAATCAACATCATTTATGCCTCTTTTTCATGTAACTCTACAACAAAAATATATATAATAGTAATGTTGTTATCTCAAATATTGCATGTGTGCAATTCTCACCACTAAAACCCTAGTAGTGCAATGATGTCTCAAATATTGTAGGCGGGTCTGACAAATACGGGGGCCTGGGACATTTCATTCGATGGCTTTCTTTGAGAGCACAAGAAGTTTAAAAGCCAAGGGAGCAACATGACCCGCACTTCCTTCACAAACCCGACACATTCCATCTCAATACCGAGATACTACCTCGGAGATGGTGTAGTTTAAAAGCAACCTTAGATGAGGCTTATACAAAATGCTCCCAAACTTTTACCACACCCTACAGGGGCCATGTGATAGTCGTGCCAGCTCCCAAGGATTTTCGGCATTGTATGATTTTTTTTAGGGTTTAAACGGTTGGATTAGGCATGTTGCCGAGGTAATTTCGCCCCCTCCCCCATGATGCTAGGCCTGCCCATCCCTTATCCGCACGAGGACTACGGATCTCGCAAAGACATCACATAGAATTTTCCGTGCCACTTCTGGGCATGATTTTCATGTGCCGCCTTGTCGATCTATAATTTCTGGCGCTGAAACCCTAGCAGTGCGATAACTATCTCAAATATTGCAGGCGGGTCCAAAAAATACGGGAGCCTGGGACGTGTCATTCGATGGCCTTCTTTGAGAGCACGAGAAGATTTGAGGCCAACGGAGCAACAGGACCCGCACTTCGTCCACAAACCCGACATGTTCCATCTGGATACCAAGAGATTACCTCAGAGATGGTGCAGTTTACAAGCGGACTAATGTGAGGCCTCTTCTAAACACGCTCAAACTTTTACCACAACCTACACGGGCCGATTTCCAGCATCATATGATTTTCCGTCGATTTAAACGGTTGGATCATTGCTCACACACAGATGAAAAACTAAAATAATAATTGAATTTCTAAAAAGGGACAATTACATTTGAGCCCCTTATTGTGTCACACCCGTTTGATTTCCACCTAAATTCAAAAAACCCTCATTTTTGTCCAAGCTTGTTTGCTCATCTTATGTTTTTGCCCTTTGACCGTTTGACCGTAGCTTTGAAAACTTCATAAAAAATTGATACTAACTTAGAAAAATGCAAATAAGATATTAAAATGTTGAGAAAAAACAACACCTATATGTGCATGTCATTTGCCTTTATGAAAAAAGTTCTAGAAAGTCTACATCCCAGTTTGAGGTCATATGATCTTAACATGAATAGTAAATCTAAAAAAATTGATAAAACTTAAAAAAATCTAAATTATTTTTGTGGCAAACATTGACTAATGGTTTGAGATCTTATAATATAAAGTTTCATCAACGAATGCCATTACTGGAAGAAATAACAAACAAAAACAAAATCAGCACTCCAAAATGCTTTTGTTTTGGAGCATCAATTTTGTTTTTGTTTTTGCCACGACTTCCACGAATGACATACCCCGATGAAACTTGGCAATCACTCAATACATTTGTCAAGTTTTCCACCAAAAATATTAAGATTTTTAAAAACTTGTTTACAATTTTTTTTTCGGATTTTACTGTTCATGCTGACATCATATGAGGTCAAAATGAGATGGACACTTGGCAACACTTATGTCATGAATACAAATAACATGCACATATAGGTGAGGTTTTTCCGAACATTTTGATATCTTATTTGCATTTTTGGAGTTAGTATGAATTCGTTATGAAGTTTTCAAAATGACAGTCAAACGGTCAAAGGGCAAAAACATAAGAGGAGCGACGAGCTTGGATAGAAACGAGAGTTTTTTGAATTTAGGGGCAAATCAAATGGGTGTGAGACAATTAGGGGCTCAAACTTAATTGTCCATAATAAAAAGTGCCGGAATCCATCATTTGGAATATGGACTGTTACTATGGACCTCCACCCTGAACAGGTGAAGATTCATATAGTGACAGTCCATATCCTTAACAAGAGTGTAATGAACACCGGAGCTTATTGTATCCGGGCTATCGACTATTTAAGTTGGTCCTGTTGCTCGTTCCTAGGCGAGATGGGACTAAATTCAGCTCTAGCAGACATAGGCAAAACAAAATTCAATTTAATAACGCAAGGGAAACAACTCTTTGCCGAAAGCCAAGTCACGGGCTCTTAGCAAAGCATTGCCACCGTCACCGAGCCGTTCTCCACTGCCGGATGTGCCACGTGGCACCACTTTGCGATGGGTTCACTATCTGGCACCCGCAAAATGAGAGTTTGCCGAATTCTTCCTTTTTGCCGAGTGTGTTTTGCACATGGTATCGGCAAATGCATGTGTTTGCTGAGTAGCATTTGTTGTCGAGATTCCTCTTGGCTGAGTATGCTTTGTCTAGTGTCCGTGGTTTGGTTCTCAGCGAGGAGCCAGGCACTCGGCGTATGAGGAAATTCCAGTAGTGAGAAAGTGAGGTCATTGCAAAATATACCCCTCTCCCCCCACCCCCTCCTAAATATAAGTCTTTTTAGATATTCCAATGCAGACTGGTTACAAATGTATTTATACATATTTTACAATGTAGATTCACTCATTTTGCTCCGTATGTATATTCTGCAATGGAATCTCTAAAATGACATATTTTTAGGAACTGAGAGAGTATTACCCCGCCAAAAAAAAAGGAACTGAGAGAGTATTATCTATTTGATTTGATATAATTTCTCTTATTCCGGCAAATAATTAATGCTCGTCCAGAGGAGTGCTGGAGTGGTAGACTCACCCGCAAAAAAAAGGAGTGGTATACACACCCGCAAAAAAAAAAGGATTGGTAGACTCGTCATAAGAGAACACTGCCGAGTTAATCCCCCAAGATTTCCCGCAACTGAGAACTGCCGAGTGCAGACTGCGGAGGCCCTAATTCTTTCTCATTTCCAGATCTCGCCGGCGCCTCGTCGAATCGTGTCCGCCTCCCCAAGATGAAGACTTCTCCTCCTGGGTGTCCGGTCGTGTCGCCTCCGCTACGTGAGAGCTTCTCCTCTTGGGAAGGCGATGAAGCTGTAGCACGCCGGATCAAGTTCGCCGGTGTTCCTAACATCCGCGCGCCTCATCAGATCGTGTTCGCCTCCTTCGTCCGACCCATCTGCTCCTGACTTCCGGATCGTCTTCGCCTACGCCAAGACCTTCTTCTCCTGGGACGGGGATCAAGCACGCCGGAGCGCCATCTTCCCCGGCACAGCCACACAGGTGAGCAGCTTCTCCGCCCAAACTGGTCGCGGTCAGATCTCTCCTGTCCGGCCCGGTTTCCTCGTTTTTCCCTCATCTCCGCTGGCGCTCAGATCTCGTTTGTATTCCTGCAGAGAGGCGACGGGCCATGCCAACATAGCTCGACCTCAACAGCTGCTGGATCTGCGCATCTCCAGTCCCAGGCAAACACGGCCTCGCCTTCCTCATGTACTTTCCTAAGGCGTTCCTTAATTCAAGCCATTCGCCGGAGCAGTTAGCTGTGGACGCAGACGCCTCACCTGGTTTCTTGGCTTGTACGAGTACTTACTAAATCTTTCTGATTCATTTTAGTCCAACGGAGCACCATGCCGGACTGGAGAGGTGACACCCAGCTCGGGGACCTTCCCAAGGAGCTGATTGACAGCATACTCGTCCTGTTGCCGTCCAAGGACGTCGGCCGCTGCCGGGCCGTCAGCAAGTCGTGGCGCAGTATCACCTCCAGGTATGAATTCATGCTTGAACACCATCGCCGCCAGCCATCGCTCCCCATCATCAATGGGCAGGGCTGGCCTTCGAGTTTCGTCCTCTTCATCCAGGCCGGCACCAGTTCCTCCAATCAAAAGCTCTGGCCATTCAAACCAGGCACCAGATATCATTCAGATAGTTGCCTCCAGGGGACTTGTGATGGCTTGATCATCGTCAATTGGGGATCCCGGTTATACATCTGCAACCCGGTCATCCGCAAACATATTCTCCTACCGCAACCTCAAGGTGGGCAAGCCTACAACCGAGTAAGTGGTTTCTACCGGCACCATCCAACCGGAGAACACAGGGTTCTCTTGGTCTCAACTCCATGTCAGGGTAAATCCAACTTATATGTCATCACGGTTGGATCTTCCGAGCCGAGACATGTCACAGTGAAAATGCCAATCGTACTGTCATCTTATGTGGAACATAGGTTCCTGGTTAGGCTGCTCCCTGGGTCCTATTGTCCACCACCAGTCCAGCACCGTGGTAGTCTACACTGGTGCCCTCCTTGTGGTGCTGGTGATATTCCCGGAGGCATTGGAGACATTATTGTGTTTGACACAGAAGCCGAGTTATTCCGATGGATACACACTCCTGCCCAGCCATACTCTGATAAGAAGTTGTTTGAGATGAAGGGGGAACTTGCTTTCTGGGGCAGCAGATTCTCCAGCTCGAATATCGGTTTAACTGTCATGGATGTCTGGGTGATGCAGGATTACAAGGCCGGAATATGGGGTTTCCAGTACCGGATTGACCTCTCAACGTTGGAGGCATCACGACAACTATATCTATCTTCTTACAAAAAGAAAAAGAAAACACCACTTCATTCAGCACTACAAGGGTTCAACGATGTGGTTCTGCTCAACGACCGTGAGCTGCTCATAAGGTTTAATTCAGAACATGTGCTGCGCTGCGACACTGATGGTAAGTTTTTAGGTATGGTGAACATTGGGAAGAGTCAATATCGAATGATGCTCACCCAGTACTATCTCAGTGAGAGCATTATTCCAATTCCCTCCAATGATATGCAAGAAGATGACGAGGTGCCTCCGTTCATAGGGCATGTCTAAATGTTTGCGACTTCTGGTTTGTTTTATCCTTGGATTTTGGACATGCATGTCATTTGCTCTTAGCTCTTCTTACTTAGTGCTACCAGTAGAACATGCCAGTTTGGATGGTTGCGGACTTGCGGTAGCAGTTTGCTGTCATCAGCTGCTGCTTATTAATTATGATGCCATGAACATCTTCCTAATGCTCTGAACTATGTGGTATCTATATGTGTTATTGAAACCTTTTCTACTGTTTTTCCAAATTTTACTTCTGTTTCACATATTTCCATCTATATATATCTGTTATTGTGTTTTAGTCGTTGGAATGGTTATTCAGTATTTCTCCTTTCAAGGCTGCAGGTAGTTTGATCTTTGTTATTCAGAACGAAATTTGGTGCAAACACTCGGGTCCTACTCAGTTTTTTTTTTCGGAATGCAATTTGGTCAAGGCTATTTGCAGAGTAGTACTCCTACTTTCTATGCTTTTGCTTAGCTCTGTACATTATACCCCCTAATCAGCACACAATTTTTGTTGTTGAAATTGTCCTTGATTTTTACTTCAGTGCTGATATGATTAAAGAGAAACTTGATACTGTCATGTACTTCGGTAGCAATTTGCTGCTGCTTTTTTTTTTGCAACCGGTGTTTTTGGTACTTTTAAGGTAGAAATGAGCTGAAAATTCACTCCCCTGGAGCAAGACAGGTGTGCTGGTTATCGGTTCATTATAGCTAGCTAAGGATTTTTCCTTGCCCAGTTCAGCCGATATAAGACTCTTCAATAATTCTTCTCATGTAGATAATCCTTCCAATGATGATATGAAACTGGAACTCCGCAATTCTACTGTTCCGTCCATGTAACTAAAGTGACGAATATATATAACACCTAGCAAAGGAAACTTAGTACTAAAACCTTCTCTTGTTTCCGGAGAGAAAAGTATCTGCCCCTTCCCGTACCTGAACCCCAGCTCCCCAAGATTGTCCCTCTCCGCTTGCACCTTCGCTCATCAGTTGTGGCACCTATTCGGTCAGCCAACCGATTACAGCAGGAGAACACATCATCATGAATGTCGTCGAATTTTACGTTAGGTAGATGGATAGAAATCATTAGATATATAGACTGACAAGCTAGAGAAAACGAACTGTTGAAGGCGAAGAATTCAAGGCTTACTCTTAGATTTGAGCTGCTTGGTATCGACATGTTCAGTTGGATTTTTTTTTATTTTTTATTTTTGCGGGGAGTTGGAGACCGATGAAGAGGAGAGGGGTGTTATATAGGAGGAAGATGACTGGTTTGTTTTATACTACGTAGTATACAACTTATGTTTTGGAAATCCAATTCGGCTAGGTGCACGTGCTCATACGCGTGGAAAATGATTTCTGAAATCTCAAAAAGATCCCAACAAAATTTTCATGTGTTCATGGTCACATCCAAATGCTACCTGCAATTTTTTAGGTAAAAAAGGTTAAGCATTTTGTCCAGTGCAAAAAAAAACATAATGAACACCAAACATTACACTCAAATTTGTTTTTCACCGATAAAATGTTGCTGCTCCGTTTGGCATGAAATTTGTCAAGCATGCTTGCGACATTAAAAGAACATCTACAAAAAAATAGTTTTTTAAAGTTTATTACTATTTTCTGAATTTACTGTTTGTGCGGGAGCAAATGCACCGTGAGCCAAAACATCATTCCCATATGTTTGAGCAACATAGAAAAAACAATAACAAACCACTACACCAGTGGGCTCTCACGACATCAACTGTCAAAATTAATCGCAGAGTGTCCAAAAAGTCACTACTGTCACCTCACTGTTGATGATACATCACCTACCAGCGAAATCATAATCCGCTTTAATGAGACACATATGATGCGAAACCAGTCGTTTCATTCCGGGTGGGCTGAGGATACAGCCACCCCTACTATCCACCTACCAACAGCATGGTACTCTATTGTTTGTGGGCACATTTAAAGTTACTTGAACTTGTTTTAAAATATTACTTATCCTACATGTGCATTTATTAGGCTGTAAAAACTTACATGTAAGCACCCCAGAAAAAAAACATAAAACTGGAGTTAATATGGTTGATGGAACAAAATACTGGTTTTAATCAGATTGGAGACTAATCTAAGCGTGAGTGTAGAATAGCTTATTCTACACCCCCAGTAACGCTACATGCAAAATCTAGTAAATCACTATACAAAATGTGGTAATTCAGAACTATTTGTTTTACTATCCAAGTTTCCAATTTACTACATTGTCAAAAAATTAATAATATTTTCAATGGTCCGTTACTATATTTTGCATGTAGCATAAACATGAGTGTATATATAATAGCTTATTCTACACTCCTAGTAATGCTAAACTAAGCGTGAATGTATAATAGCTTATTCTAAACCCCTAGTAACGCTACATGGAAAATATAGTTACGGACCATTGAAAATATAGTAAATTTCAATACCACTAGATGCTTTTGGAAAAAATCCGAACTTATAGAGAGAGGTTTTTGGACATGGAATTACTAGGTATACGCGGTACATTTTCCTTACCAATGGTTGCTAGGTTACAATAATTTGACTGACATTGACGATGCTAAAGAAAAATAGAATAGTAATGTAATGGAAATTATTTCTTGTGTGTCAACTATTGCTTGATCCAGATGTGGTCTCTAAATTTCAATACGAGATGATCTAGACTAATCAGTTTAAAAACTTGTCAAGACGACGGTTGACCTATTTTGCACAAGAGGCATCCTACTAAGCACATATGTATAAATATTTTTGAAATAAAATAGCACTCCCTTTGTCCGGAAATACTTTATCCATTTCTCTGACATGTATTTTCGGATGGAGTAAAAATCAGACATACTTTTTTCTGGAAAGCAAAATCAATAAACTAGAAGACATCAAACACAATAAGGCGCACGACTAGGGCGCACTCTCGCGTTGTCAACGTCGACGAAGGAACATTAGTCGGTGGAGAAAATCTCGTTGCCTATTGGCGCTTCATCTCCTTCTCCTTCGCATGCATGTCTCCTCTATTAATATATATGGGCCCTTTCCCGCTCGTGCATGGCGCCTCCTCCCATTCCCTCTCCCCTTGTCTCGCTGCATAAAGGTTTCTGCAGGGGAAGCACGACAGAGGAGGCTCCTGCAGCATGGAGGCAGCGGCGGCGGCGGCGGCTAGGAATAGTTTGTGTGTTACCGGCCAGAAGGCTTCATCGCCTCGTGGCTGCTCAATCTTCTACAGCGGCCACACGAAAAACGACGGCGATGAGGAGGCCCGCCCTTGGCGGAGACCCGCACCCCCGAGTGGTTGTGACGCCGGATCTCTTCGCCTCGCGGGTCCAGCCCTCCCGTCCGCGCTGCGATGCCGGTGGTATGGAGGCCGGGGCTCGGGCAGGCACCGCGGCATGGTGTGGCCGGCGGGGGCTCTGGGGACCGCACGGTGGGGGACTGGGGTGGCGTCCGGTCATGGGTTTCGGCGACGCCAAGCTGTAGATTTGAGCCGCTGTCTTCAGTTCGCTTGTTCCATGTTTTGATTCGCACCTCTACCCCACCATCCCTCTCGAGTAAGCTCGAGCTTGAGACAGTGAAATCCCTCGTAGGTGTCAGAGGCTGACTGCCATGACATCCCCGAGATTGTATGTGCCGGTTTTAATTGGTTGTGCACGCCATTCGTTTGATGAATTGTAGAAGATATTGCATTATTTTTTTTATTCTAGATTGGAGCTAACTGCTTGAGTATTTGTCAGTTATACTGATTGTGTTGTTTTAGCTCTCTAATTTTAGAAATTGGAACACAGCTACCGCCTCTGAACATTTTTATTTGTATCAATGATGTTAGATATTTCGACTCTCGGAAATCATAATATTTTTGGTGTGTTGCTAAGTGCAATTTCAATATATGCCTTATGCTTGCATGAGTTAGATGTTCTAGTTTCCTATATAACTCTGATGCTGGTCTTTCTTTGAAAATAAATGAATCTTCCTTTTTTGGAAAATTATCAAATAAGTTTTCCTGTACTACTGAGTATTGATTAGTAATTGAGTTCTTACCTTAAAGATATGTGGCCATATATGTTTCTCTTTACACGAACAATATACACCTTTTTTGCAATGTACATTGCTTCAAGAGGTGGTGTTGACTATGATTTTCTTTTGGTATTGAAACTCTTGAAACTCACTACATAATTAGTCTGCCTTTTCTTGAGAGAGAAAACATGCCATGAGCAGATATTACAAATTGCCTTGTTTTATAGGTAATCCAAGAGTTACGCCTGATCTTACACGCCATGTTTGTTTGTTAGCAAGGATGATGCCTGCTAACAAGTGCGCTGGTCTCTAATTATTGTTGATTGAATACTGTGCATGATTGAAAATTGGTGATTACCAAATGTGGCTGAAAGAAAATGTGGCTGTCCTAAATCTTTTTTTCAGTCAAGTCACTGGCTTACTATTGGTAGTTAGTCAGTTGATAATTGGATGTCTTATTCCAGATACGCGCATGGTGCACCATCTAGTTGATGGTATGCCCATACGGATTGTTTGATCTCTTTTTCTCTGCAGACTGCAGGTGCAGGTCCCCCGCTCGCTGACGACAAGGTCAGATTGCTTATCGAGTTCTTTTATTTAGGGATTTTAAGATGATTAGTCCTTGAGCACCATAGTTGAATGAAATGAAATATGCGGATCACTTTTTGCTTTGAATTTAAATGAAATATGCGGCACAACAAAATTGTGTATATTGTGAGACTATGTACCGTATGAGTTATTTGAGTAATGATGTGAAAGCAATGTATAAACTTGCTGAATTCATCTGTTTGTTGATACTGCTTTGTCGATATCTTGCCAGCAAGCGTGATGGGGCAAGTTATATATATTAGGGATCTATAATGTATTTACAAACTTTTCTGTATGTTCCATGGTATTAAGTCAGAACATCGGCCAGCACAGATTTGGTTCTAATCAAGGATCACAGATTTCATGCTTGCACTGTAGTTTATTTCTCCATTCGCACATCA